AAATCCTCTGCAGGGTGCTGGGCCGCAGTAGATTGGAAATGACCTACCAAAAGTCCTGATATGGAACATATTTTTTTGTTTTCACTTATACATTTATCTTCCAAATTATTCATGGTTTTTGACAGCAAACAAAAAGCCCAAGCCCCTTTTTTTGGTTTTTACAACTGTTCTTTCCCCTCCTCCCCCCCCCCCCCCCCCGTGCCAAACTTTTTTTAGGAAAATAAATCTTTTTGCCAAATTCTCTATTTTATGCCCCATAGCTATTGTCCTTGGATAAAATGATTGGCAGAGGCTGTCCCTCAAGGATATTTTGGATCCTAGAGCAGGCAGCCTGCCCAAATAAAACATCTGGGACTTGCCAGTGTAAATCTGTGGTCCTCACAATGGACCTAGTCCTTCATTCCTTGTGTACCAAAAACTTGTGCTTGCCTGAGCAAAAACATGCAGGGTCAGGCTTCATCTGGAAGACTCAGTCTCTGTGACTCTTTGCAGAGGAATAAAGAACCTTGATTTATGGGCCATTATGCTTGGTAGAATTATAGCACCACAGGTGAATGAGCAATCACAGACACCATGATCAACAAATTACCTTAGGTGATTCACTAGGGTGTGGAAGTACGGAAGGATGGTAATTAAATGACTGTGTTCCACTATGTAATTGTTATGTGGAGACGGATGCTGCAGGGCACAATGAGCCTGCAGTGGTCCTTTGTTGGATTTACAGGGAAAAAGAGTACCAAAGCCCTGCCATAAGGGAAAATTGCATTCCCTTGTCTCTGAAAGAACACTCAGACTCTTGAGCCCTTTTCCAGGGATTGCAGGCCTGGGTTTCAAGGATCAGGTAGATGGCATCTTTTCTTTTTATCCTCATTAAGATCGTTTTTCCCACTATACTATGTGCAGAGAGGAAGGCTTGTCTGCCTGAGTGCTTGCATCAGCATGTTACCTGATGTTTCACGCTCTCTGAGTTCACACAGCATTACTACAAGATTGCTCTTTGCAAACCCTAATCTTCTTTTCTTTTGTGAAGTAGGGTTACAGGCAAAAAGCTTCCTTTATGTGTATTGATGTTTCCAGAGTTGTTTCAACCAGCATCCACCAAGTTAAATAGCATATATATTGCTTGTATCCAAAAAGGATAATTCGGCTCATTAACCTAATGTATCCGTCTCAGAACTTTTTTTCCCTATATCATTGACTCCCTTTAGAACAAGGAATAAGCTAAAGGAAAACTAATCTGGGTTACATGAATGCTGTAAATACATTTCCCTTTAAACACTTTGGGTTAGATTATGAGCAGGAAGAAAGAAGCCCAACAGTGGTCAAGGGGTGTTGGAAGGGAATATCACACAAAGCAAGAGAAATGGAATGCACAGTGGATGAGTCCCTACAGGATTGATGTGCAGCAAGTAGAGATAAGAAAATATTGACTAAAATGACATAATGGTTTAGGATGAAGGGGTCTGTGTTCATACAGACCAGAGATACATATGCAGTGTGGTGCCTAAAGGGTTCTACAGATGGTGGCTGTGCAAAGAGCTCTGCACCAAACTGATGCCAGGTGTCAGGTCACAAAAGGTAAGAGCTAGGGAGTCTTCCCTGCTCCTGGTTTTGTGATGACCATGATAGGATGAGGGAAACCTTAAAAACAGGGGACTCCCATCAAGGCACCAAACTTAACCCTTCCCTCTACCCAAGGGGTGAGCAAAATATGGCCCGCGAGGCCATTCTATCTGGCCCACGGGGTCCATAAAAAAAATTTCAAAAATTAAAATGTATCTGTCCTTGGTGCCTGTTAAAAATGACAGGACCCAGGGGCAGTAGGAACCAGGGGAAGCCCGGCGGGCTCCCGCAACAGCATGACCTGCGGCCCCAGCTGGAAGCCCCAGCAGGGGCTTCTGTCCTGGGACCACATGGCTGCATTGGCGCAGGAAGCTCAGGTAACAGGGTGGGGAGGAGGGCAGGGGAGGACCACAGGCAGGGAAGGAGACTGGGGAAAAATGTCCCCTCACCCACCTTGTGGCCTGCCCTCCCTGCTGCAGCTGCTCGCAGCCCACGTGGGGCTGTCCTGAGCAGGCACAGGCAGCACCAAGTGGGCTGTGAGTGGCTGCAGCTCAGGGTGCCAGGCACGGGGCGGGCGAGGGACCGCTTTTCCCCCTCCCTGTGCTCAGCACCAGTTTGTAACCCAGCCCTGCGCAGGCTCTGGGCTCGCCCATTGGGGTTGCACAGCGGTGGCAGCAGCTGCGGCTCCTCCACTTGCCACACCGGGCAGTGTTTGCTGCTGCTGCCTGCCTGGAGCTCATGCACTGAGCAGCACAGAGGCGGCAGTGGCAAACACTGGCCGGTATGGCAAGTGGGGGGGCCACAGCTGCTGCTGCCATGGCACAGCCCTGACGGGCAAGCCCAGAGCCAGTGCGGGGCCCAGGCTGGCTGGTGGGGTGGGTTACAAGCTGGTGTTGAGTGTGGGGAAAAAGTGGCCCCTTTCCCATCTTGTGCCTGATGCCCCACCCTGCAGCTGCTTGCAGCCCGTGTGCAGTGGCCTGTGCCTGCTCAGGACAGCCCCGTGAGGGCTGTGAGCACCTGCAGCAGGGAGCACTGGCCATGGGGCAGGGGAGGGGCCATTTTTCCGCGCTTTGCACCAGCTCCTTCCCTGCTGGCAAGCAGGGGGTCGGGGCTGTGCGCTGCCCCCTGCCTGTACCGCAGGGCTGGGAGGCACTGGGAGTGAGTGGGCGGGGAGCCAGAGGGAACACAGAGCCTGTACCGGTGTCCCAGGGCCAGCACCAGCAGGGCCAAGAGCAGGGCAGCAGGGGTACAAGACCCTGGCCGGCAGGGGCTCTATGGAGCCGAGCCAGCTCCTTCCTGTCCCTGCTGGTGCAGCCCAGCCCAGCTCCACAGACCCCTGCCAGCCTTCACCCTGCTTTGGGCCCCACCGGTGCTGGCCCTGGGACATTGGTCCCAAGACATTGGGACATTGGTCCCAAGATGGTGACCAGGGGGCGAGGCACCTGTCATGGGGCAGGGCTACCCATGCAGCCCTCGACAGCTTGCCAAAAGTGGGTAAGCAGCCCTCCACCCAAAATAATTGCCTGCCCCTCCTCTACCCCATAGTAACCAATTTACTGATCCATGTGTAACAAGGACAGCCAGCCAACTTCAGAGGCTCTTGTTTTCATTAGAAAGTGCTTGAGTTTTCTTGGGTTGCTTGAGTTTTCTTCCCCTCCCCCATTTGCATTGTCCTTTAAATGGTGAATGTGACCTGATCTGCAGATGCATTGTGTTGGCAAAGGATGCCGTCCTGGTGGCTGCTGCCTGGCGTTCATCTTCCTGAAAGAGTCTAATTTTGTCTTGTTTCAGCGTGGCAAGTAGGATCAAAAACCAGTCGCCCTACCCACATGCAGAAATAAACAAAATGGAAATCTAAAGAGTAGAAGGCTGTGACAGGGCCTGGGTTCACTAGACTGCATGAGTTGTACTAGAACGTGTACAAAAAGCATCATGAATCTGGTTTCCATTTTCCAGTGGGTAGAGAAAATCTGCAGGGTGGGGCAGAGTGAGTAACTGATCTTTAGGCATTTTTGCTTTGTTTTGCTAGTGGTGACAGGGAATTGGTGGCATGAGGGAGAGTTAAAACTTGAGCTTCTGAGTTCCATCTTGGTTTACTGGGAGGGTGGAGACAATGGCAATGGTTATTACTGGAGGAAGAAAGGGGCGTTGCACCCCTAGCGATGGTTAATGGGGAGTGGAGTAGGGCACCACTCGGGATGTCAATCCTCAAAGCAGCAATGTTGCTCTGCCCTGGGCTTCCCCAGCCACCTCACCTCCACCTGTGCTTATTTCTCAACTAAGACATTTCTGAATAGAATTCCGGCCATCTTCCTGACCAGCCACTCAGGACCCAGTCGCCTCCCGCAGAGGTCTTGTATGCTTGCCTCATGCACCTGTGGCAGCCTATCCCTGCAGTCCTCTGCTCTGTATTCAGCCACCCACCTCCAATGATCATGCCGGATGGAAAAACAGGCATGAACACTCATTTGGCAGACGCCCTTCCACAAGCACAGGCGCAACAAGACTGAAATGACAGGTAATCTTCCCAACAGCTTTCACGTAACAAAAGGACCGATCAAAAACACTATCAGCTTCCATCTGGTTGACACTGAGAAGGAGACCCAAATGTGAAGGGACAATATAATAATACAAGTGGCCAAAAGTATAACAGACGGGGAGAGGGCTTCATTGCATAGAGCCAAAGTGAGATTTGCACCCATTTTCTCTCCTACCCAGATCGATCCCCTTACAACTTGCAAGGGGTAGGAATGGCTGCACCAAGACCGCCCGCACGGACCAAGGTCCTTCCACATCCCCGCACGGTGGCGCTGGAGCAGCCGAAGGCAGCGACCGGCCCTGCTCCGAGCGCCCCACCCCAGGAGGCCCCGCCCCCTCGGAGGGGGCCGGGGTTCGCCCAGCAGGGCGCGCGGGGATGACGTCAGGCGGAAGCGCCGGAAATGGAGCCCTGCGGCGGAGATAGCTGCTGCGCGAGGTGAGAGGCGGGGAGGGGGGTTCGGCCGCCAGCGTCTCCGCCCCGCCCCGCCCCGCCCCAGCAGAGGCACGGGGCCGGCGCTTGTGCCTGCCGTTGGGGCCGGAGGAGCCGGGAACGGGGCGCCCCCTCTTCCTCTTCGCATCTTTATTTCTTTCTTTTTTTTTAAAGAGGCCGTTAACCCCTTCCCCCAAAATAACTTTGGCCCCGTCATCCTCTGCTTCCGCACTAGCAAGGCGGCAGTTGGAAGACGATGAACTGACTAGATCAAAGAAAGTATTGGGCTGGTTTCTGGGCTCCTCTGCACTGGTTTTCCTGCCTGGAAAAAGCCCAGATCTTGGATGGAGGCTAAGCTGGAAGGCGCTGAAGCGCTCACAGTGCAGGACTGTGCCAGCACCTCCAGTTGCCCTCTGTGTTTCTTCTGCAGGAAAATTGCTCTTGGGCTTTCTCAGCTCCACGACAATGTGTGTTGGTATCTGGGCAGGAAATGCTCTGTCCAGTTGCAGGCAAAGGGCCAATCTGACCTCATTATTTCAGACTGTGCAGAGCTACTCTGGCTGACAAGAGCCCCGTGAAGGAGGTGGGTGGGCCATGCAGGAGGTTCTGGGCACAGTGGTGGTGGTGATCTGGGGAATCAAAAAACATTGCTGATTGCCAGCCAGGTGCTCATGTCTTGGCAGAAACTTATTCCAAAGAAGAGCAGGATGACGTCATTCTGCTTTTTTGTCATCCTTTGATACCTTCTTTGATTTATTCAGTCTATCTCGAACTTGTTAGTACTGAAGCGGAGGACGATTAGAGGCAAAGTTATTTTGGGGAAAGAGGCTCACAATCTAATATAAAAAAGATATAAAGAAGCAGAATGTTATTGCTGCTTCATTGAGTGTAAAGCCTGGAGACGATATAAGTCAATGATACCCTTAGCCCTGGACTTTCCCCATGTTTACATAGCTCAGTTTGTGCTGGGATCAGCACTCCAGCTCCTACCTCCTCTGAGAATGGAAGGTCTGGAGAACACTTGCTAAGGGAGGTGTCCAGAGTTTCTAACTGAGCATAGGAAAATCAGCTTCTGGTTTATCTTGATTCTGCAGGACCACTTGACCTGCAAGCCTTTGATTCATCATGCCAGTGTCGACAAGAGTATGGCATAGCCCTCGACCGAAGCATTAACAAGTATGAGGCATGTCAAGGAAAAATGTAACTAACTTTTAACAAACTGTTGTTTGGTCTCCAATGTTGTAGGATAGATCAATGGCTTTCAATCTGTGGTCTGCGGACCCCTGGGGGCCCGCAAACTATGTTTAAGGGGTCTGTGAAAGAGGATCAAAAGTATGTGAATACCCACACTTACAAATCAAGGGATCCACAACTCCATTCAAAATTTCCGAAAGGGTTTGCACTTCCATTGGAAATTTTTTAGGGCTCTGCAAATGAAAAAAGTTGTTTTCAACTTTTTCATTTGCGGAGCCCTAAAAGAATCTAGCCCGATGGGGTAGATTATTTGATTTGTAAATGCTTATGCTCTATGCCTGATGGGAAAATGCTAGCATGGACAGTGCTTACTGCGGCCTACTGTTGCTAGAAAGAAACACTGATACTGTGGCTGAAATATCCAATTTTGGCTGCTCTGAGTGAAATGTAGTAAGTAGCAATCAGCTAGATTTTTAGAGTGCCAAGCATCTACCTTTTGAAGAAATTCCCTTTAAAAGTTTTGAGTTGGATATCATAAGCCAACTGTCACTTTTTGAAAGCCATGGCTCAGTTATGTATGTATGCACTGAAGTAAAACCTTGTTGAGCTTTTGTTGCTGGCATGGTTTTGTATGAGAACTGGTGAACTAGTAACTTTCCTCTTAATTTGGCACAAGACAAGTGTGAGTCAACTATGTGAGAGCTCTACCAATAGGCCAAAGGAAGAGCTGGGAACAATTTTGCTGTACAACACACCTGACATGATCTGTGGCACTCTTCCAAGGAGCAGCATGGCGTGGTCTAATACTAATAATCTGTAACCAAAGCCTGTACATGTTAAATATGTGGATTTTATAGAGTGAATGGCCCAATTTGTTTTATTTTATTGTACAGCAATGGAGACAGAGTAAGACTGCAGGGGTTTAGAATCCTCTCTGGATTCTCACAGCTTTGGCTGTTCCTTTGAGCTAAATGTGTAACCTAACATCTCAGTGGTGCTAAATCATGAGGGGCTTTCCTTGTCCTCATAGATGTCCCTATTGCCGGTACACCAGGACCGAAGTGGCAGAGGAAGAGACTATGGATGATATTATATTCAGAAGTGACACAGTACTCTCTGACATTCACTTGCACACCCCAAAAGAGCGACATCTCATGGTGCGGTTGAATGGGGTTGGACAGCCAGGTAAGGTGCAATCTGCAGACAGGTGGCTTCCAAAGCTTTAACCTACTTGAAACTAGTGATGTGAATCTATCAAAATGCACAACACAGAGGTAAAGTCTCATGGCCATTTAAACCATGCCTGCAGTTGGCAGTATGATTATTTCTTGCTTGATGGGTAGAATGGAGATGAGCCAAGTTTGCCTTGGGTAAAATGGTATGGATCAGGAACATGCGGTCGACGTCTGAGAAAATTGGATATAAATAGGCTGACATTGGCTCAAGTCAAATCTGCCCTTTTTTTTCAGCCTGAGCAAGTGAAACGGAAGTTGAGTGTGGGTGTGGGGCACCCTTTGCACTTACAGATTGGAGGTGAGAAGGCAAGGGTCTCGACAGGTCTCACATAAATTGGAATTGGGTTTTAGTGAGCCAAGAGAGGGCCATGACCAGTTTGTGAAAATCACTCCAGTACTCCAGTAACAATTTCCACCTGAGCCAGGGAAAGGAAATACCAACTTGTTCCAATTATAATTTGACGTCTTTTCCTTTTCTAAAAGAACTGTAAGAATCACAGTTGACTTGTATGCAGGGTTGATCCATAATTGGAAGAGAATATTATTAACATACTGGCTGGCCTTCCAGAAAGACACCTATTTGGTTGGGCAAAAAGTCTAATGTGCTAACATGAACATGACTGACATTTCTGAAACTATGTAAAAGCCAGTGGATGGGAGCGTAGGCATGTGGGAGAAAAGGTGGGCTATGAGGTTTGTAAAGGTAATGAATGACACAGGTCAGCTTGACTGGAACATAATTAAATAAATGTGAAATACCGGTAACTTGAAATGCTTAGCCACATTCTAAGAATTGTCACTTGGTCCCGTCTTTGTACTCGGATCTCGATGGGAACAATTTGGGCTGAGAAATGCCTTTAAAAAAAAAAAAAGAATTACTTTAGTCCATTCTGAACGCTCATGGTCTGGTGGTGTGCAACCTTCTGGCCCAGAATGATGGTACTGGGTCAGTCTGCAGGCCAGATTCCATGTAGTGTCAGCCTGTGAGTGCAGTCTAACACACTGGCCCAACCCTGTACGCCTTAATCTGTCCACATGCTGACACAATCTAGCATAGAGGGCTGCATTTGCTGACTTGCAGGTCTCCCTACAGGTCCAGAAATTTAGTAGCAACACTTGGGTGCTACAGTGTTGCCATTTCTCTCCTGCTGCCAAGTTTCTGGTCTCCTGGGGAGCCCTGGGGGCTGGAAATAACCTGTGGGCCAGGGGTTGAACATCCCTGTCACAATGTGATGAGTAGCACAGTATCAGTAATGTAGATGCTGCTGAGAGTATGATGTTTTTCTGAAATGCTGGAGATTGACAGCCATAAAATGAGTGCTGATATTCAGTCTCTTGACCTCACTGTCATGTAACTGAATGGACAGTTTAACCAACATGGTGGTGATATTTATTTTGGTCTTTTAGGCCTGAAGCAGGATCGGAGGGGTGGAGGTTAAAAGGAGAAAGTCACTTGTTGACTGTGCCTTCAGCTGACCCTGTTTTTTGGCTTTCTTTCTCTCTCTCATTAGTGTTTTTATCACAGTTCAAGCTCCTTAGGAAGCAAACTGATGTGGCATTTGAGATGAAATACAAGAGTGCGTTTACAAGCGAAAATGGCAGAGGTGGCAGCAGAGGTGACGGCATTTCACTCATTGGACATAACAAAAATGAACTGCCTTCTAAAGGAATAGACTCTTTGCTAGATGCTGATGGTGATTTGGAAGTTGTCAGAAGACCTCAGTGCACCTCCACCTCAGAAGCAGAGGATTTGTCAAGGGAAAAGGTTTGTCCAATGGTACTGATGAAAGGAGGAGAAGACCTTTATGAACAGGAAGAGCAAGAATGCAGAAACGACATCATTAAAATAGGTAAGCCGAAGTGCAGGCTTTTAGACAAGGGCAGGAGGCACTGACAACCATGCATGTCAAGCAAAACATGGACAAGGTTGCTGCAACAGGAAATTTGTTGATGTTCCAGAACAGTATTTGGGCTGCTCTTGTGCATCGAGAAGGGGTTATTGGTCCCACAAACATCCAGTTTTGTGTCACTGTGCCAGAGAACCAGTCCTTTGAATCTATAAGCACACTTAAGACATTTCTTTTTTGACCCCAAGACTCAGAGCTGCCAGAACCCCACCTAAACCAAATTAGCCCAGTTCTTGTCAGTATACTTCAAGTCATCTGAAGGTTTTAAATGTCTTGTACCTGAGCGTGATGGTGGTCCTCAAACTAGGTGTGCCTCCATCTGTGGCCACTGGGAGACTACTGATCAGTCAGGCACAAACTCTTCCCCAGATTTTTCAGTGGTAGTCACTGGAATTCCAAGGCAGTGGGTCATTGGTGCTGCGCTTTGGCATGATAGCTATGCAGCTTCAGTCCCAAAAGCAGGTGGCCTCCTTGGGCTTTCGTCACAGACTGAGTCTTCCTGGGGAAAAGATAGTTGGTGGGGTTCACACTCTAGAGCTTGGCTCCCTGCAGTCTAGCCAAGTTCTTATGGGTTACTGCAGGCCAGTAGTTGATGTATATGCAGCACCTCACTTAAACTACTCGATAGGTGGATGGACGGACCAGTATAGTGTCATAAGGGCAAGCACAGTGTGAACACCTTTTGCATCTCTGTCTGTTGTGAAATACCTGCATTCCCTGCATCGTGAAACATCATCAATAATCACACACAAGTAAAACTGTACTTGCCCGATGATTCTCTGCTTACAGGAAGAGGTGGGTGTCCTTGCTACAAGCTTCAGTCATTGTGAGGATTTTCTTTGGTGTTTTTTCATAAGTCTCTCAACATGGGTGATTTAATCTTTTTGGGGCATTGAAAGGGACACAGTTCCAGGCAGTGAAGTGAGAGCCAACTCTTCTTCAAGTGAAGTGTCATTAGGGATGAGCCAGCAACATAAGTGTCATTAAGGTTGATGTTGAGCCAGCAACAAAAGTGAGGCTTGTCCAGAGCATTTGTTAAAAAGTACTCCTTTTTGTTTTGCTTTCCTTTAACTAGAACACACGATGGCAACTCCTCTGGAAGATGTTGGTAAACAGGTTTGTATCTCATATGAAGTATCTGGTGCCTAAGGGGTTTTTGATCAGGGGTGTAAATTTACTTGTCTTCTACTTTCTGCTCAAGGTATGGCGTGGAGCCTTTCTTCTTGCTGATTACATCTTATTTGACCAGGACACGTTCAGATGTTGCACACTTCTGGAGCTTGGAGGAGGCACTGGCCTCACCAGCATTATTGCAGCAACAATTGCTGGAAGAGTGTATTGCACAGGTGCATGTTAACATCAGCCTTTTTTTAGAAAGGGGTCTGAATTAGAGGTGCTTGAAGCATTTCTGCTGCCATTTCTCCTTTCATTCCTTGTTTCTTGTTCTTTCCTCAGCCAGGCATATCTACCCCACTGTGTCAATAGTAGATAGTTTGCATAGAGAGTTTATCACTAGATGGATACAAAGGTGGGAATGGGAAGGAGAATGCTGCATTAGAAAATGTGTTTGGCAGCATACTCTTTCAAGGTCTTGCATTTGACCTGGATGTGGAATTGAAACGGTGTTGGGCACACTCAGTTTCTTCCGCAGAACCTTCATGAAATTAAAAGGGTTGTTTCAGAAGCTGGCTGCAATTGCTGCTCCCAGTGGGAATTAGATCTCCCTCAGATCTCCCTTCTGTAAGGAAGTTTGTAGATTGGTATCTCATCAGATTATCCATTTTTGGGGCATCCCTGCATGTTAGTTATATTCCAGTGAGATATTCATCATGTTGCCAAGATAATCCTCTTGGAGTAACATGGGCAATCAGTAGGCTTTTGACTGCAGGTTGTTTTTCTAAAAGGATAAATAAAATAGAAAGAAAATAAAATGTCTTGTCTATAGTCTGCCAAAAAGTGATGTAGATACATGGGGGCTGCTTATCTGCATGGAAGTGGGCCCTCTCTGATGGTCCCTCTGTGGAAGGAAAGGCCAGTGAAAATAGTTGTTTGCATATGATGTTAATAGTGTTGGACTGGAGTTCTTTTGTAGCTAGCAGTTACCAGCAATTCTTGGGAAAGCAATTGGTGGCCCATCTGCAGTCATAACCAGGCAGGGCATAAAATAAGTTGTTGATATCCAGTCTTGTGCTGGTGACCTCCACAGAGGGGCTGAGAACCACCAGTGGTCTCTTTTTTTTCTTGAAAGAAGAGGTCTAGATTGAGCCCAAGCAAGATGTTGTTAAGTGTGTAACACGTCTCTCATGTTTCCAGATGTGGGTGAAGATCTTCTTGCCACCTGCGAGCAAAACGTAAGATTAAACAGACATCTCTGGGAGCCAGCAGGTAAGTGATGTTCAACCATATGATAGCTTTGAGATTTGTGTTTTGCTTTCTACATTGACATGCATCAGTGTACATAATGGATCATTTGTCTGTCATCAAAACCATAGCCCTGCTAAAAATCTGTCTTATACAGAAAAGAAGGGTCAGATCAGGGGAGTCCTCCTTTGTGGAGAGCATAGAACCAATTTTCTTTTTAAGCAGGCAGTAGGGCCTGCTGCGGTTGCTGTAGCAAGCTCATTGAAGCAGAGCAAGTGCAGATAAATTGGTAGCATAAGTGGGCTTTGTGAGTGGCTTCAGACTAAAGTCATGAAAGAAATAAGCAATGGCAGAAAAAGCATAACTAACTAAAGGGGTATACCATGCAGTGATTTCATAGTGGGATTGAGTGCTGATGAGTCAGAAGGGGAGATCTCATTGGCAGTCAGATGGCAGCAACATATCTGCACTCAGAATCGTTGCCATTGTGAGCCAAATATTTTACTACTTTTCTGTTAGAGTGCCAGTAATTTCTCTGTAGGCTTTGTGACCTTGATCTTGGCTAGTCTGCTCCTCAAAGAGTGAATCTAACTGATTTGGTCTGCTCCCTTCTCCCTCCCTTTATTTTTTTGGACAGGAAGTGAAGTTAAAGTAAAAGAGCTGGACTGGCTGAAAGATGGCCTTTGTACTGGTGAGTAGGTGAGGCAGGCTGATTCAGTTTGGTTTCCCATAGAGCTTGGGGGTAGGGGCAGAAATGGAGGCTTAACAGTAGCCAGATGTCATTACAGAGGTAGTATATTGCACTGTGTCAGCAATGACATTCAGCTCTGGTTAACGATGGAATAGGGCTAACAGTAGTAACTGTTTCCCAGAGTGTGAGGGCAAAGTCTTATCTTGTTTTAATGCATATGGCACTTAAGCTCTGCTCATGTACTTGGGAGACTACATTAAGCCTTAACATTTGTTTACATGCAGGGTCTTGTCTGGTGGCCTATGGGGCTGCAAAGCCTGTTCCTTCCCCATAATCTTTGGGAAGGGGAATGGGTGGGAAGAGAGCAGGCAGAGCAGTTTGGTAGCAGCCTGGTTGGGTTTTTGTCATTTATAGTTTTTGTGGTGCAAACATGTGCCATGGTTTAAGTATCTGGCAAGGGTATACAGCACTTCAGTGGCATGTTTCCCCTTTGGGCACAACTTGAAATAAATGTGGTTGATTCCTGAGCAGTGTGGTACTGCCAGGGCCATCATAGCATTGGTAAAAGGATGCCTTGCCATTCTTCCCCTAGATGGTAGATCAGGATTGGTTCTGTCTAACCATATATGAGAGACAGCCCTACCTTCTTTGGCTGCCATCTTGATGCTTCTTTTAATGTGGTGTGAGTCAACAGTGATGGCTTCTCCCAAATTGTCACTGTTCTTTTTCGAGTCAAGAGATAGAGTAGTAATGTGGAGGGAGCAGCTTGCCCAAGGAAGTGGGGATCCTTCCCAGGCCTTGACTGGCTTAGTCCAGATTGTATTCAGGATGTATGATGGGGTGCTAGCAAAGATCTGAGGAGAGCCTCCAAGATACCATGTTTGCTCCTGGCCACTGAAAAACCATGCTTCTGTGGAAAGAACACTTCTTGCTTTTTTGATAGATCCTGAGGCCCCCTACAGTTGGTCTGAAGCAGAGATAGCTGACATGTATAACCATGCCTCTGTGATCTTAGCTGCTGATGGTGAGTGACACTAACCAAGCCCCTTGTGACTGGTGCGTGGGAGGATTGCAGTTTGATTGTTTTCTTATAATGTGGATCCTGTGAACTTCTAAAAAATCTATCAGGGACACCCTTTGGCCAGTATAACTTGTTGGAGCCCCATGTGCTACTATGAATCCTTTAGGAAAGGTTGGCCTAAACATTAAGAAGGTCATCGTGCAGGTGCAGTCTAATCATTTGTAAGTGAAGTGTTTCTGGATACTGAGCCTGCCATAGGCTTCCTCTTGGTTGGAGCTCTGGTATGCTTTGCCAGCTGTCTTCTCTTAGTATTCTGTTCCCCATCACATCTGCATAGGAAGAAAATCTGCAGATTGACCTGATTGCCCAAGGAAAAAATTGAAAGACACAGGCTCTGAAATCAGAAAAGAATTAGCTGGTGCCATGTTTGAGGCAATGTGCCAACAAGTGGGAGGAAAGCAAACTTTTCCCCAAGTTAGGAGAAGGTAGCTTTTGCCATACTTGTAAGCAGGACTTCCCACAAGGAGGATGGGCATCTGTTGTGTTTTTTATTTTAATGGGGCTTGGATGTTGTTTGTGAGTCTCTGGGGAGATGAAGAGGGCCCAGCTAAGATTCTGTTGTTGGTGTAGTGACTTCTTGGGGGTGCCTGCAAGTCTAGGTAGGAAGCAAGGCCCCTCAGTTTGGGACTTTTACCACCTCAGCAGACCTGTGGAGCATAATGCTAAATGGCTGGGTGAGAGCCTGTGTGGAAGAGCTGCAAGTTAGCAGAGCATAACAAATCATGGTACCTCATCAAAACTTTTGTGACAAAGTAGCTGCGGCTGTCTATGTCTGATTCTTATGGGTGCTGTGTAGATATCTCCCATCAAAGATTCAGTGGGAAGAATTCCACACAAAAGCCACTCTGCATACATTGGAAGTGTTTAACCAAAACATAAAGGTCCCATCCGTGTGCTTAATGAATGATATATCTTGGTCATGCAGTGTTTTATGATGATGACTTGACAGACGCCTTCTTTGGAACGCTGCGCAGACTCACCAGCTACCTAAACCGTGTGTGTACCATTTACCTGGCAATAGAAAAGAGGTAAGAGAACATTGCAGGGAAGATACGCTACAAATACCAGCTGCTGTTTTTTATTTCAAATCAGCAGCTTCATTTGTGCTTTGGAATGATCACAGGATTATGCAAGCATTGACCCTTCTAGGGCTACAATGTGACTGCAGAGGCAAATCAACTGATCACTGTCAGCCACCCAGATTTGTAAGGCAAAGAGTCCTCCAAAATAACAGTGGCCACTCAAGGCTTTTGGATTGTCTCTGCAATGTGTCATGCTGTGCCATCTTTTGGGAAGAGCAGGCAGGAAGAGATAAGCAAGCACATGTGGAGTAAATGGTTTTGGGGAAATTATGTCAAGAGGTTCTTTGCCGTATTCATATACAGAGTCACAGATTTAGTTGTTAAATGACATCAGAAAGAGTATCACTATTAGGTAACTTTTTAGGGGGTGCCACAAGGTGCACTTTTATGCTGAGTTACTGAAAGAGCTTTGAGCAGCATTGAGTGTGTTTGCCCATCAAGCCAAAGTGTTGATGGTGGTAGGCTGGGTCACATGTTTGATGAATGATAAGTTGGGACCTTGTGGACAGGTCCCAATGGTATTTCCTTTGGCTACTGACTGGGAACCTGGACATGGAGAAATAGCCCTAAAGGAGGAGTGACTATGATTCCATGAGACTTCCAACTGGTCCAGCACTAAGCTGTGGGACATTTTTAGTATGTAGGGAGCAGCCTATCAGATGGAGGCATGAATTGAGTTGTTGAGTGCATGGTCTTTTGCCACAATTGCAAATACGAGGCAGCTCAGTCAGATGTGTAGTTCAGGCAGGTCTCAGAGACGCTTTTCTCAACAGATTTTTGTCTTGTCAGGCTGAACTTCACCCTCAGAAGCATGGACATTGCGTGCGAAGCTTACAATCATTTTCGAGATGCTCTGTCCAACCTGGCCAGCCTTAGAGATGGTGAAATGAAATACACTGTTGAGCCTGTCAGATTCACTTTCTGCCAGTCCCTTGTTTATGAACGAATTGAGCAATTGGTAAGTGGCATGTTTCTGCTTAAAAGTAACGTGTCAAGCTTTGCACTTTTGAAGTTGTTGTAGTGGCTATACGTAATGGAAGAACCTGGTTGTCTGTCATCTTGTGTACTTTTGGAAGGGCTCCAGCCTAGTTTTTTAAGGAGAGGAAGTAAAAGGAAAACATTTGATTCTTCTGTCCCTGTTACAGTCATAAATGCTTATCAGTACAGCTTATTTCATTTGCCTGGCAAAGAGAGTGTCATGGCACAGGTAAGGGAGGGTGGTGAGTGTTCTCATATCACTGTGCTGCTTGATGTAATGGGAAGATCCAGGTAGAGGTTCTCTGATACATTGGTTCATATCATATCAGCACTAATAAAAGGAAATTATTATTGGAATAAAAGGAAAGTATTTTGGCAATTGGCTTTTTTTGGCTGATGTGGCCAATAATGTCATAGATAAACGCTGTGTGCATGCATGGAGCCAGCCTAGCAGCTTGCAGAGCACCAGCTGGCTGGTAAGTCTGTTGGGAGGAAAGGAGGGGGAGCAGGGCAGTTCGAGGCCTCTGCATTGAGGGAGGGAGTTGGGCCGGAGCTGGACCAGGGGCAGGCACTGTCCAGCTAGAACAGTACACAGGACGGAGCCTCAAGTAGCTCCTCTGGGGGGCGTGGGGAAGGAGGAGCGGCTCCTGCTGCTATGTGCACCACCTGGGGAGCCATGGGGGGCGTGTGTCCCTGGATCTGTGTGCAAGGGCAGGCTGCTGCTGCGGGCTGGAGCTGGGTTCTTCCTGGCGGAGGGGCTGGGCCAGGGCTGTGCTGGGACCAGGCGGTGGTGCTGGGAGGGGGAGCAACAACGAATTTTGGGGTGGCTGTAGCCCACCCTCTAAGCCCCTCTCCCAGCGCTGCTGCTGCCTGCCCAGAGCGCAGCCCCGACTCAGCTCCCCACCCCACCAGGAAGAGCCCAGTACCACCCCTGGCCCCAGCCTGTAGCAGCCGCCCACCCTCACCCTGCACGCAGATCCGCGGGGGGGGGGCACATGCCCCCATGACTCTCCAGGGTGCATGTAGTGGCGGGATCTGTTCCCCCACGCCCCCTGGATGAGCTGCGCGGCTTCATCCCGTGCCCCATCCTGCCCCAGCTGGGCAATACCAAAATGTGCCCTGCTCCCTCCCTCACTTCAGGGCCTCAATCTGCCCCCACCACCACCACTTCCCACCCCTTGCCCCTTCCCTCTAACAGACTTACCAGCCAGACGCTGCTCTCCAAACTGCTAGGCTATATGTTGGGAATTGGATCAGTATTGGCTGATATGGCTTGTTAATAATCGGCTATCAGTATCGGCCCCAAAATCTTTATCAGTGCACCTGTAGATCCAGGTGTTCTTTAGTAGTCGTAATGGAGACTGTAATATCTAGAGGGATAGGACTATGAGCTCCAGGGATTTTTTTTTTTCAAGGCATGTGCCAGTAAGTAGATAACAAAGCCATTTCTTGTTGCCATGTGAAAGAAGGGTCCCTTACTCGGCGTGCTGTCCAGAGGAGTTTGCCTCTGAACACCACTTAAGGAAGCATTAAGCCGCCGTTGGGGAAGAATTGCTAGCTTCAGTTGCGTCCAGAGAGGTTTCTGTTTACCTGCTCACTGAGATCCATGTTAGGGGTTCTGGGCTTCTGACCATGTTTGGTTTTGGTGCTACCTGGCATTCTATGGGAAATGTTACAGTTCATTGCACTGTAGATTCACTGTAGACCTGTGACAGGAGCACCAAAGTACTTCACATGGGGACATGAAGCTCCATGGGGTGTCTGAAGCCTGTCGTTGTGGTAACTAGGATCTGCAGGGTATTTTCAGTACAAAAGCTACTGCAGGAGTGCCCTGCCTGAGTTCAGAACCTCAGTATGTAGCACATGGTACATAGTACAGTGAGCTGACCCAGTGAAGAGGGTGTGGCTGCAATGGGAGTATAGTTGTAAGGGCCACTAAGTTTATAAAGCCTAAATTAATTAAAAAAGAAATATAAAATAATACAGGAAACCACCAAGAACTATATGTAACATCCCATAATCAGAGCACAGGGATGAAAGAAAAATAGAATGCAAGTAGAAATTAAGCATTTTGAGTCAGAGCTACCCACTTTATTGCACTGATTACCATATGCATAATTTCCTTCCCAGGGGAGTGGTGGCATATGTGCAGAACTCGGAGACTAAAAGCATTTGTACACATGGTTGCGCCACAGCGCCAGACACAAGAGTGTCCGGCGCTGCAGCACATACATTTGTATAAACAACTAAATGCATTTTGCCATTTATACAAATCTATGCGACACAGTGCCGGGCACATCAGCTAGCATGCAGGGCAGGCTCGATTAATCGAGTCTGCTCTGATGCACTGGATTTCTGGCGTGTTGAAGTAAGCAAATGTATAACGAATCATGGTGTATAAATGCCCTAAGTGCAGTTCCTGAAGACCAGAGTCACTGAAAAGGAGCACCTGGGGAAGGTAAAGAGGTATATAGTTGAGACTTTCTGAGACAAAGTAGGTTATTCCAACCTCCCTGGAATCGGTCCCAGTGGTGCCAAGGAGGATGATAGTTGCAAAACAGGACAGGAGCAAGCTGGAGATGAGGGAAAAATCCCATAGCCATTCTTGAACTGGATGTTCACTGGCATGTCTAATATCCAGTGATGATACTAACATAATAGATATCTCTGAATCCTGGTGGAATTGAGTGATGGGATGCTGTAATACTGAGGCACAAACTATATAGGAATTATAGAATAGATTGTACCAGTGTGGGAGCAGCACTTTCCTTTTAAGGACAACGTTGAAGCAAACAGGGTGAGAAGTTTATGTAATAGAAGAAGCACTGTAGAATCTCTTTGGGTGAAAATGTTGTGTCTAAGCAAAATGAATGTGCTTTTTGGGTTGTGCCATCAACCAACTGATCAGGAGGGTGGCAATGAACAAGAAATGCTAATTAGGCTGCAAAAGCAGACAGCACAACAATGCTGGGTGACTTCAATTATTTCTGTATAAAACAGGTAAATCTCACTTCAGGGTAGGATGCAGAGACTAAATTTCTAGTCTCTGTCAATAACTACTTTATGGAACAATTAGTCCCAGAACCCATAAGATGAAGGGCTATCTAGGTTTAGTCCTAAACAGCATATAGGATTTGATTCAAAGGATAACTATGGTGGAGCTTCGCTTTAATGGTGAGCATAGTGGTCACTTGTGTCCTTATGATTTCTAAGCATGTTCAGCCTCCTTGTAGGAAGGAAAACAAAAAAAATCTATCATGGAATCACTTAATGTGAAAAACACAAACTACAAAAATGACAGTAGTAGTTAGAAGTAAACTGAAAGGATTAAAAACTTGCAGGCAGCCTGAGGGCTGTTTAAAAATACTATGTTGGAAGCACAGGGTAAATGTGTGCTGCAGGGCAAAAACATGTAAATGGAGAAAAAATAATGCCAACATAGTTAATAGGTAGAGTAAAGGAGTCCAGTAAAATATAAAAGATGTCCTTCAGGAAATAAAGTTGTATCCAAATGAGAACAATGTAAAAGAATGTTAACTGTGGTAAGCTAAATGCAGAACTACGGTAAGGCAAGCCAAAAATAAAAAGATTCAAGTAGCAACTTGCTAGAGATGTAATTTTTTTTTTAATTTGGTTTTGCACTAGATGCAGAAAGCCAGACAGGAATTCAGTGAGGCCACTGGACAATGAGGGAATAAAAGGAGCATTCAAAATGGAATATAGCCATTGCAGAGAAACTAAATAAGGTCTGGAATGGGCTCCCAAGGGAGGTGGTGCTCTCCCCTACCCTGGGGGTCTTCAAGAGGAGGTTGGATATGCATCTAGCTGGGGTCATCTAGACCCAGCACTCTTTCCTGCCTATGCAGGGGGTCGGACTCGATGATCTATTGAGGTCCCTTCCGACCCTAACATCTATGAATCTATGAATAAATGGGTTGGGGTTTTTTTGCATTAGTTTCCATCAGGAAAGTTTTCACCATAAAAGACATTTGGGAGATTCCTGTACCAGAATCACTCTTTCTAAGGGACTGACTCAAACTGAGGTGCCAGCAAATAAGGAAGTAGTAAAGGAAATTGATAAACCAAAGAGTGGCAAATTATTAGGACTGGCGATTTGGTGTTTACTCAAACTCAGAATTACACATCTGTCTACCTTAGTATGTAACCTAAAAGCTGTCTCTGTGCTGGAGGCCTGGAGGGTAGGCACTGTAATGATGAGTCACAGAAAGAGCTCTGAGCTTAGCTGGTGTTCCTAGAAAATAGGTGGAAACTCTAATAAAAAATAAGATTGCTCATTGCATAGATGAACAGGAATTACTGGGAAAGA